ACTCTTGCCCTTCCCTTCACTGATGAGTTGTTTGTTATTATTTAATTTAGGGAGAAGCCCTAATTTCTCTAGTCATACAGCACCTGGGGAATAGGATATCAGACTTGATCCAAGGAAAGGGAGGTTGGCTTCAATTTCTTGTATCACTTCCTTGGGTAGTCAGATATATGTCAGCTGCACACTTACCAGACTCCTCCTCCTCCTCCTTAGGTAACAAAGTCGCACATCATTCCAGGAATGCTAACAATGATATGCAAATTCTGGCTTGTATATTCAAGGGGAAGCATTAAAATCATGGACATACAATACATCAAGAATGTAAGGTAATAATCAGGTTTAATAAAATTAATGGAAAGTGTAGCCTCAGTTTCATTATTTTAGCACTTCTTGATTATAACAGTAATTCACTGTTTCCTGTTCCCATTATATCAACTTCTTTTCATTTTTTTCTTTTGGAATGAACCATACTATTCATTTCCATTTTCACAAGTTTTAAGTCATCATACTTGTTTAATTCTGCCCCAGTACCTATTGTAATATCTTGTTCCATTTATTTTTTCTGAAATACTCTTTGGTTATGTTTGCTTTCTCATAATCTAGTCGATCCCATTTAGTTACCGTTTTTCTCACCTAAGTCATACCTTGGAACAAGTTATTTTCCAAAGATCAAGATTAATTCTTCGAGTGGGTTTAGGTAATTTATATTAAGAATTATTTTTCTCCTAAGTCACTAATAATGTGAAAGAGCATATAAAAAATTTTGCAAAAAAGGTAATGTACTATAAAGATGTCCGGGGTTTATTATTATAGTACTATTAATATTAAGAAATATGCAGAGAATTCGTAGTGTGGAAATTAGGAGGTGGTGTGGAGTTACTAAAAGTATTAGTCAGAGGGCTGAAGAAAGGTTGTTGAGGTGGTTTGGTTATTTAGAGAGAATGGAAAAAAGAATGACTTGGAGAGCGTACAAATATATTGGGGAAGAAAGGCAGGGAAGGGGTCGTCCCCGAAAAGGTTGGAGGGAGAGAGTATAGAAGGTTTAGTGGGCGAGGGGTTTGGACTTCCAGCAAGCGTGCAAGGGTGTTAGATAGGAGTGAATGGAGACGAATGGTTTTTGGGACCTGACGAGCTGTTGGAATGTGAGCAGGGTAATATTTTGTAAAGGAATTCAGGGAAACCAGTTAACTGGACTCGAGTCCTGGAAATGGGAAATACAATGCCTGAACTTTAAAGGAGGGGTTTAGGATATTGGCAGTTTGGAGGGACATCTAAACTGTTGTATCTGAGCACTTCTGCAAAGACAGTAATTATGTATGAGTTATGGTGAAGTGTTGAATGATGATGAAAGTTTTTTCTTTCTTTTTGGGCTTTTCTTTCTTTTTAGGTCACCCTGCCTTGGTGGGATACAGCCGACGTGTTAAAAAAAATTATTATTAATTATTATTATATGGCAGAGTGCAAAAGGAGAGCAGATGAAAGAGTGGGAGAGGCACTGTCAAGAAATTTTAATGAAAATAAGAAAAAATTTTGGAGTTAAACAAGAAAGCCTAGGGAAAGTATGGATTTGTCAGTTAAAAACAGAGTAGGGGAGTTAGTAGATGGGGAGAGGGAGGTATTAGGTAGATGGCGAGAATATTTTGAGGAACTTTTAAATGTTGAGGAAGAAAGTGAGGCGGTAATTTCATGCACTGGTCAGGGAGGTATACCATCTTTTAGGAGTGAAGAAGAGCAGAATGTAAGTGTGGTGGAGGTACGTGAGGCATTACGTAGAATGAAAGGGGGTAAAGCAGCTGGAACTGATGGGATCATGACAGAAATGTTAAAAGCAGGGGGAGATATAGTGTTGGAGTGGTTGGTACTTTTGTTTAATAAATGTATGAAAGAGGGGAAGGTACCTAGGGATTGGCGGAGAGCATGTATAGTCCCTTTATATAAAGAGAAAGGGGACAAAAGAGATTGTAAAAATTATAGAGGAATAAGTTTACTGAGTATACCAGGAAAAGTAGACGGTAGGGTTATAATTGAAAGAATTAGAGGTTAAGACAGAATGTAGGATTGCGGATGAGCAGGGAGGCTTCAGAGTGGGTAGGGGATGTGTAGATCAAGTGTTTACATTGAAGCATATATGTGAACAGTATTTAGATAAAGGTAGGGAAGTTTTTATTGCATTTATGGATTTAGAAAAGGCATATGATAGAGTGGATAGGGGAGCAATGTGGCAGATGTTGCAAGTATATGGAATAAGTGGTAAGTTACTAAATGCTGTAAAGAGCTTTTATGAGGATAGTGAGGCTCAGGTTAGGGTGTGTAGAAGAGAGGGAGAATACTTCCCGGTAAAAGTAGGTCTTAGACAGGGATGTGTAATGTCACCATGGTTGTTTAATATATTTATAGATGGGGTTGTAAAAGAAGTAAATGCTAGGGTGTTCGGGAGAGGGGTGGGATTAAATTTTGGGGAATCAAATTCAAAATGGGAATTGACACAGTTACTTTTTGCTGATGATACTATGCTTATGGGATATTCTAAAGAAAAATTGCAAAGGTTAGTGGATGAGTTTGAGAATGTGTGTAAAGGTAGAAAGTTGAAAGTAAACATAGAAAAGAGTAAGGTGATGAGGATATCAAATTATTTAGATAAAGAAAAATTGGATATCAAATTGGGGAGGAGGAGTATGGAAGAAGTGAATGTTTTCAGATACTTGGGAGTTGACGTATCGGCGGATGGATTTATGAAGGATGAGGTTAATCATAGAATTGTTGAGGGAAAAAAGGTGAGTGGTGCGTTGAGGTATATGTGGAGTCAAAAAACGTTATCTATGGAGGCAAAGAAGGGAATGTATGAAAGTATAGTAGTACCAACACTCTTATATGGATGTGAAGCTTGGGTGGTAAATGCAGCAGTGAGGAGATGGTTGGAGGCAGTGGAGATGTCCTGTCTAAGGGCAATGTGTGGTGTAAATATTATGCAGAAAATTCGGAGTGTGGAAATTAGAAGGTGTGGAGTTAATAAAAGCATTAGTCAGAGGGCAGAAGAGGGGTTGTTGAGGTGGTTTGGTCATTTAGAGAGAATGGATCAAAGTAAAATGACATGGAAAGCATATAAATCTATAGGGGAAGGAAGGAGGGGTAGGGGTCATCCTCGAAAGGGCTGGAAAGAGGGGGTAAAGGAGGTTTTGTGGGCTAGGGGCTTGGACTTACAGCAAGCGTGCATGAGCGTGTTAGATAGGAGTGAATGGAGGCGAATGATACTTGGGACCTGACGATCTGTTGGAGTGTGAGCAGGGTAATATTTAGTGAAGGGATTCAGGGAAACCGGTTATTTTCATATAGTCGGACTTGAGTCCTGGAAATGGGAAGTACAATGCCTGCACTTTAAAGGAGGGGTTTGGGATATTGGCAGTTTGGAGGGATATGTTGTGTATCTTTATACGTATATGCTTCTAAGCTGTTGTATTCTAAGCACCTCTGCAAAAGCAGTGATAATGTGTGAGTGTGGTGAAAGTGTTGAATGATGATGAAAGTATTTTCTTTTTGGGGATTTTCTTTCTTTTTTGGGTCACCCTGCCTCCGTGGGAGACGGCCGACTTGTTGGAAAAAAAAAAAAAAAGTTGTACAAAAAATTTGATCAGATTGTTAACATTAATTAATTACAGGAATCCTTTTGTTTTGCAAATCAAACTCATTGCATAAGAGCAAATCAGGAAATTAATGAAAGAAATGAGAAATTACACTAAAGCAAATTTATATACAGTAGGGCACCACTTTATAGCACTTCACTTACAGCATTTCACTAATACAGCAGTTTTCAATTATACCCATTCTTCATTTATTCAGACTGCCTACAGTAAATATATTCACCACTCACTAATTGCTAGGGATAAAAATATTTTAAGGTAAGAAATCTATGCATTGTAAGTGCATTGTTTAGGCTTAGTTCTATTGCTAACTTAATATACAATAGTGTAAACATGGTATCAGGCTTTATGCGCATTTGAAAGTAAATAATGGCTATGTTTCACTTTACAGCAGTAGCCCGGAGCCTAACCTGCTGTATAAGCGGGGCCCACTTCTATAGCAAATCTGCATAAACTGAGGACTAGGTATAAATACTAACATAAGCTGAATGTAGAAATATATACAGGTACCATCCGACTTACGACAAAGCTTGGTTCCAACCAACCGGTCATAAGTCAAAAATGGACGTAAGTCGAACCTTACTACTGAATATCAACATCACATTTTTGTTGTGCAAGAAAGGTATAAAATATCGACGAGATGAATGTTAAGACACATGTGCAACATCTGGTTATCTTTATTGTAGACGTTTTGCCATCCAGTGGCTTTATCAATACAGATTCTAGGATATAATTAGAAGACAGTAGAACTATATACAAAAGATAAAGTCACTGGATGGCAAAACGTCTACAATAAAGATAACCAGATGTTGCACGTGTCTTAACTTTCATCTTGTCGGTATTTTATACCTTTCTTGCACAATTTGTCAGACACTGCAACATCGTGGAATCTTGGTTCAGAGGACATCTACAAGACCTTCTTCATGGCTACTACAACTAACCCATCCCTTTGGGTAGGACCTACTTCCACTGGGGAATCCCACCTACCAGTGACTATGCCATCATCTGCTACACGTCCCTATCCACTGACGCCTATATAAACGCCAGTCTCCTTGCCTTTGCTCCAAAATCTCAACCACCACAGTGCTCTCAACACCAACTCCAAGGGTGAGGGACTGATTACCTCATCTTTTGTATATAGCTCTACTGTCTTCTAATTATGTCCTAGAACCTGTATTGATAAAGCCACTGGATGGTGAAACATCTCCAATAAAGATAACCAGATGTTGCACATATGTCTTAACTTTCATCACATTTTTGTAATGATTTTATTTTATTGTTTTATTTGGGTATTTCATTTTTTACTTTACTTTTTATACTGTTAGTACTGTATTTTATACTGTAAGGGTTAGGATAAACACTCTGTACAATACAAACAGTTGTTTATTTCCCAGAAATTTGGCATTCAAAACATGGTCGTAAGTCGAGTGGTCATATGTCGAGCAGGCCGTAAGTCGGATGGTAGGTGTACAAGTAGTGGTATGTGGTAAATAAATGATGCTTAAAAATGTAGAACAAATTATTCTGCAAACTATTCATTATTCACAAGTTTATAATGGATTTCTGGGAGCTCTCTCAGCTTTTGTGCAGCTTGCTCAGCTGTTAAGTCACGTTGGGCCTGTGCCAGCATCTCATAGCCCACCATAAACTTTTTAATTGTGGCTGAGCGTAGCAGAGGTGGGTAGTAACAACCATGGAACACCCAGTGTTTCTCGTCACTCTCCAGCTTAAGACCAGTAGGTGCCCCTGGGAAAAAAAAAGACAATTCGGTCATGAATACTATGGTACAGGAGGGCCCAGCTTTACATCACTTCATTTTAAGGGATTTTGATAATGCAGCAGTTTTCAATTATGCCCATTCTTCATTTATTCAGACTTCCTACAATAAATATATTCACTACTCACTACAAGCTAAGAATGAAAATATTTAAAGTAATGTGTTACTGGAGTGTGAGCAGGGTAATGTTTTGTGAAGGGATTCGGGGAAACCAGTCAGCCAAACTTTAGTCCTGGAAGTGGGAAGTAAAATGCCTGCACTTAAAAGGAGGAGTTTGGGATATTGGCTGTTTGGAGTGACATCTAAACCATTGTACCTGAGTACCTCTGCAAAGACAGTGATTATGTGTGAATGATGGTAAAAGTGTTGAATGATGGTGAAAGTGTTTCTTTCTTGTTTTGGGTCACCCTGCCTTGGTGGGAGACAGCCGATGTGTTAAAAAATACATATACAAGTATATATAATTTTTTCAACAAACTGGCCATATCCTACTGAGGCAGGGTGAATTTAAAAAAAAATGAAAGTTTTTTTTTTAAATTTATACAGGAGAATGGGTTAAGTTTTATATTTATTAATAATTAAAAACTACCTACTTCTGAGGTACAGCAGTTGTTTTTAATCTTAAAATACAGCACCAGTAAATATTGAATACAGTGGTACCCCGGATTTCGTCAATAATTCGTTCCAGAAGGCTGTTCGAGTGCCGCTACCGAACGAGTTTGTTCCCATAAGGACAAATGTAAGTTAGGTTAGTCCGGTACAGACCCCCAAAAATACACGTAAAAAAGAACTTGCAAAAATACACTTACATAATTGTTCGAGTTGGGAGCTGTACGTAATCCGGGGTACCACTGTACTATATGAAAGAATACCAGTAACAACAGAACATTACAAAAACAAACAGTGGCAACACCCACCATGCCACCCCATGGAATATGGGAAGGAGCACTTGAAAAGGTTGTCATACTTTGTCGTCAGCCTCTTGATAATATCTGCAAGTGAATCTTTCTCAGCATTGGAAATTTCAGTCATGCGTATAACATGGCGCCGAGGAAGAATCATGGTTTCGTATGGCCACACTGCCCAGTATGGAACTACTACCACCCAGTGATCATTTGTCACAACTAATCTTTCCTGATAAATAAAAAAAAATTCCTATACATTCCATCAACAGAACAAAATGCTTCATCAGTTTTAATTACAGCAGACTCGACTCTTAAACTTGGTTGTCAAAACAGTGCTATACATATATTATCATGGGGAAATGCAAAACAACAGTCATACAGCATCTGCAGAATGGGAGGTAAACAGGTTTGATTCAAGGGGAAAGTAGCTAAAATTCCTTGATTTGAGAGCCTTACCCAACTTCAAGGCTTCCACTCCTTGATTAAATGCAAAGTACGGTATACTGTATTTAGTAAAAACTTTCCTTGTTAAATGTGATGAAATAAAAAAATTACTCCACTGATTATAAAATTAAAGAAAAAAAAATGTTAAATATCCTGGTTGTATGAATATTTAATAACTGTTCATTATGATAACTAGACTAATTTAAAATTTCTCCCTATTGTACTGTAATACACACACCACTGTATGACTCTTTCAGGTTTAACACTTTATATTATTACTTTCATTCACAAAGCTTCTCCTGAAAGAATACATATTGTCTATGAAATTCCCTAGACATTTTACAGCCAACAGATCATTTTCTTTTTTAAATTTAAACTACAACATTTTTATCTAGCATTTCAGTGAATTTAAATGTACTTACAAGGACCTCAATGGAAATAAGTCACTTTATCGTGATCTTTTTTTTGGGGGGGGTTATCCTAGGTAATGTACACATAAGTTACTCTGTATGAAAATTGTACTTACATAGACCTGTACCTAAATAAACTTACTTACGAAGACCTAAATTTACCTCATGTTCCCAACAGACACTTACACTGACTAGGTATGTAGGGGACATTTAATGGCTCTTGAAACTTCCATTTTCTTGGATCGAACCTGAACGCCTCCCATTCCCCAGGTGCTGTATGAATCTTACCAGTTCAGTACAGTGGACCCCCGCTTTACGATCAGCTCCCAATGCGACCAATTATGTAAGTGTATTTATGCAAGTGCATTTGTACGTGTATGTTTGGGGGTCTGAAATGGACTAATCTAATTCACAATATGGGAACAAATTCGTTCAGTACTGGCACCTAAACATACTTCTGGAATGAAATAATATCGTAAACCGGGAGTCCACTGTACTTCCTCATAAATATAACATTATAATAATAGTGCTTCCCTAGCCCTAACCTGAAAGGTTATTATATTCATGATTACTTTTACTTGTTCATAAAATAAGGGCTAAACTCATTGGGATTATACAAACTTCAACTGCTTTGCTATGGAAATTTTTAGATAAAAACTGGGACACAGTACAAAATGTAATCACATCAATAGCAGCAAAAAATGAAGACTAGCAAGAAAAAATAATTTAAACTATTATAGGCATCCCACTAGCATGCCTATATATATTGGCAGTAAGTTTATTCAGGTATAAACAAATACAGTTACATTGATTATCATACATAACAGCATATGTGTAGAGAACTTAGGATAACCCCAAAAAATCAGACAGTGACACAGATGCTACTAATGTGACATTTCGCTCTCCAGGAGCTTTGTCAAGCCGTTACAGCTTGACAAAGCTCCTTGAGAGTGAAACACTGTCATAATAAAATGTCACATTCGTTGCATCTGTGCCCCTTTACCTAATTATATTGGGGAAACAAAGGAAAGATACATATGAGAAAAAACTTCACCTTTTTTTCCAACTCCCGAGCAACATAATCCATTAGCATTGGTGTTCCATGGTCTAAAAAGTACTGTCTCTGGTTTGTGTCCTTCAGTTGAGCTTCATTTGGCATGAAGGAAGATGCCCAAATCTACAAAAGAAAAATTAAACAATAACCCTCGGCTATATGATCATTAAGTAAAGTAATTCATTAAAATCAAAATTTGGAAAAACACTGATTAAAAATTAAATATATTTAATGTATTTTAACAGCAATAATTTTTTTTTGTACATTTTAAATTGAACTTGGTTTGAAATGAAGGATTTTTCCAGGAAGATTCCTTGATGCCAGGAAGGGGCTCTTGATCCAAGGAATTGAACTTGTCCTTTCTCTCTACTTGGATCGAACCAGACACTTCATGACCCCTATGGGTTTAGTGTTTCCCCATTAATATAATAAGACAATAAGGAAGATAATAATAAGGCACTGAAGGCAGAAAAGACAGGTGCAGAGTAAGCTTCTATTCTGATAATTCTGTCTGTAGAGCCTCATCAAGTCAATTTACACAGAAAAAACATTATCACAATATATGCCTGCTCTGTACTCATGTTCTTTGTTCATTAGTGTTAGCAGTACACAAATATAAAATATAAATCACTTTATTTCAATTGTATAACTAATCTTTACTAAAATAATAATACAGTGGACCCCCACCTTACGAACGCATCGCGTTACATTAAATCCGCCATACGAAGCATTTGAACGCAAAAATTTTGCCTCGCCTCACGATAAAAAACTCGCCTTACGTGATTCGTCCGGGACGCGTCTCACGTGTGGCCTCAGCGCCAGTGTTTACAAGCCAGCCAGTGCGGTCGCATCTACACATACATTCGGTACATTTCACATTATCCCAGTGTTTTTAGTGCTTGTAGCTGCAAAATGAGTCACCATGGACCCCAAGAAAACTTCTAGTGCCATCCTTGTGGTAAAAAGGGCGAGAATTAGTATGGAATTGAAAAAAGAGATTAAGGAAATGTGTGCAAAGTGGGTTGAACTGCAAACCTTTACAGATGAAAATCACCCTGACACAGCTACAGCAAGCCGTGTTGGCAGCCTGTACAGTGACAATGTTATGGCCCATTTTAATAAAGTCTTAAAGGAACGGGAGGTACAGAGCTCTATGGACAGATTTATTGTGGTCCAGTGACTCTCAAGCTGTTCCTAGTGGCATTAAAAGAAGAAGGGAAGTAACCCCAGAAAAGGACGTGCTACCTCAAGTCCTAATGGAAGGGGATTCCCCTTCTAAACAATAACAACTTCCACACTCTCCCCTCCTCCCATCCCATTAATCATCACCAGATCTTCAATAAAGGTAAGTGTCATGTATTCTATTCTAAGTACAGTAATTGTGCATGTCTTCTTCAGTTTGTGTGTATTAAAATTAATATTTCATGTGGTAAAATTTTTTTTTTTTTTCATACTTTGGGTGTCTTGCACGGATTAATTTGATTTCCGTTATTTCTTATGGGGAAAATTAATTTGCCTTACGATAATTTCAGCTTATGATGAGCTCTCAGGAACGGATTAATATCGTAAGGTGGGGGTCCACTGTATATTGCAATAATGTAAGACTGCATTACCTGACAATGAGGATGAGGATTAGAGCAACCCATAACAGCTCCCTTATTTTCAAAGATCTGGACCCATATGTATTTCTTGCCCAAGTCTTCTAACTCCATGATCCACCTGCAACAGGTCCAGAATGCTGTCACTTTTATACATGTATTTGATTTAGTATGCCTATCAATGGTAAATAACACAATTAATGGAATAATTAGTAAATTCTGTTAAACATTAAACCAGAAGTTATCAAACATTTCCAAGACCCAAAATTGGAAATCACATTTGCCTAGCTGCTCAAGTAGGCAGTGGTACCTAATTAGCACTAGCATATCACCTAGAATTACAGTTTATTAAAAACAACACTTGAAAAAAATTACAGTAGATCTCTCTCATATATTTTATCAGTCACTGCAAGGGACTGTTGAACATCCCTGCCAAGGTTGGACTTGTTGATGGTGTCCCTTACTGTTGATGCCCCTGATCACTGTGAAAGCAGTGGTGGCCACTTAGAATACACTCTCTAATACCTAATTCCAAGTAGCTACCACTGCTTCCATTACAATAAGAACATAAGAACATAAGAATGTAGGAACACTGCAGAAGGCCTACTGGCCCACACGAGGCAGGTCCTTATCAAAACGACATCTACCTAAAGCTACCCAACAAATAACTCCCGTACCCCATGACACCAATCAAACCCAGCCCCTCCCACTCATAATGAAGAACATTACTAAATAACTAAATAAATTACTAGTAAGGTAGTAGGTTGGTAGACAGCAACCACCCAGGGAAGTACTACCATCCTGCCAGATGACTGTGAAACAGAAACCTGTAACTGTTTTGCATGATGGTAGGATTGCTGGTGTCTTTTTCTGTCTCATAAACACGCTAGATAACAGGGATATCTTGCTACTCCTACTTACACTTTGGTCACACTTCACAGACACGCACATGCATATATATATATACATACATCTAGGTTTTTCTCCTTTTTCTAAATAGCTCTTGTTCTTCTTTATTTCTTCTATTGTCCATGGGGAAGTGGAAAAGAATCTTTCCTCCGTAAGCCATGCGTGCCGTATGAGGCGACTAAAATGCCGGGAGCAATGGGCTAGTAACCCCTTCTCCTGTAGACATTTACTAAAAAAGAGAAGAAAAACTTTATAAAACTGGGATGCTTGAATGTGCTGGTGTAGTGCGGATGACAAGAAAAGATGATTGCTGATGTTATGAATGAAAAGAAGTTGGATGTCCTGGCCCTAAGCGAAACAAAGCTGAAGGGGGTAGGGGAGTTTCGGTGGGGGGAAATAAATGGGATTAAATCTGGAGTATCTGAGAGAGTTAGAGCAAAGGAAAGGGTAGCAGTAATGTTGAAGGATCAGTTATGGAAGGAGAAAAGAGAATATGATTGTGTAAATTCAAGAATTATGTGGATTAAAGTAAAGGTTGGATGCGAAAAGTGGGTCGTAATAAGCGTGTATGCACCTGGAGAAGAGAGGAATGTAGAGGAGAGAGAGAGATTTTGGGAGATGTTAAGTGAATGTATAGGAGCCTTTGAACCAAGTGAGAGAGTAATTGTGGTAGGGGACCTGAATGCTAAAGTAGGAGAAACATTTAGAGAGGGTGCGGTAGGTAAGTTTGGGGTGCCAGGTGTAAATGATAATGGGAGCCCTTTGATTGAACTTTGTATAGAAAGGGGTTTAGTTATAGGTAATACATATTTTAGAAAAAGAGGATAAATAAGTATACAAGATATGATGTAGGGCGAAATGACAGTAGTTTGTTGGATTATGTATTGGTAGATAAAAGACTGTTGAGTAGACTTCAGGATGTACATGTTTATAGAGGGCCACAGATATATCAGATCACTTTCTAGTTGTAGCTACACTGAGAGTAAAAGGTAGATGGGATACAAGGAGAATAGAAGCATCAGGGAAGAGAGAGGTGAAGGTTTATAAACTAAAAGAGGAGGCAGTTAGGGTAAGATATAAACAGCTATCGGAGGATAGATGGGCTAATGAGAGCATAGCAATGGGGTCGAAGAGGTATGGGGTAGGTTTAAAAATGTAGTGTTGGAGTGTTCAGCAGAAGTTTGTGGTTACAGGAAGGTGGATGCGGGAGGGAAGAGGAGCGATTGGTGGAATGATGATGTATAGAGAGTAGTAAGGGAGAAAAAGTTAGCATATGAGAAGTTTTTACAAAGTAGAAGTGATGCAAGGAGGGAAGAGTATATGGAGAAAAAGAGAGAGGTTAAGAGAGTGGTGATACTTGGGAGTTGACGTGTCGGCGGATGGATTTATGAAGGATGAGGTTAATCATATAATTGATGAGGGAAAAAAGGCGAGTGGTGCGTTGAGGTATATGTGGAGACAAAATACATTATCTATGGAGGCAAAGAAGGGAATGTATGAAAGTATAGTAGTACCAACACTCTTATATGGGTGTGAAGCTTGGGTTGTGAATGCAGCAGCGAGGAGGTGGTTGGAGGCAGTGGAGATGTCCTGTCTAAGGGCAATGTGTGGTGTAAATATTATGCAGAAAATTCGGAGTGTGGAAATTAAGAGAAGGTGTGGAGTTAATAAAAGTATTAGTCGGAGGGCTGAAGAGGGGTTGTTGAGGTGGTTTCGTCATTCAGAGAGAATGGATCAAAGTAGAATGACATGGAGAGCATTTAAACCTGTAGGGGAAGGAAGGCGGGGTAGGGGTCATCCTCGAAAAGGTTGGAAGGAAGGGGTAAGGGAGGTTTTGTGGGCAAGGGGCTTATACTTCCAGCAGGCGTGTGTGAGCATGTTCGATAGGAGTGAATGGAGACGAATGGTATTTGGGACTTGACGATCTGTTGGAGTGTGAGCAGGGTAATATTTAGTGAAGGGATTTAAGGAAACCGGTTATTTTTATATAGCCGGACTTGAGTCCTGGAAATGGGAAGTACAATGCCTGCACTCTAAAGGAGGGGTTCGGGATATTGACGGTTTGGAGGGATATGTTGTGTATCTTTATACATATATGCTTCTAAGCTGTTGTGTTCTGAGCACCTCTGCAAAAACAGTGATTATGTGTGAGTGAGGTGAAAGAGTTGAATGATGATGAAAGTATTTTCTTTTTTGGGGATTTTCTTTCTTTTTGCGTCACCCTGCCTCGGTGGGAGACGGCCAACTTGTTAAAAATAAACAAGGAACAACACCTGCAATAGACCAGCGCCCACAAAATTATCAACACATGCCCTCTTGTCTGAGGCCTGGTGATCACTACCCCATACAACTGCCTCCTACTACTTTCAAGAAAAGTGCTCAGAAGAGGTGTGAGGAGTGTAAAGTACCAATGTGCATACACCCATGTTTCAAAGAATTCCACAAGCTGCAGTAGTTCTAGGAAAGTGTCCAGTGATTGTACATTTGTATACATGTATATATTATAGAACAATAGTAATATACAATTTTTTATATTGTTTGATTGTGTAAACAAGTTTTGAAAAAATATAATGATACTAATGTTTCTGCTATTACTGTATTACATTCAATGAGTGTATATATGTACATTGCACCTTACTTTGGTCTCACAGGCCACATAAGTGAAAAAATAAATTAGTGAAAAAAAAACAAGAAACCTTTGCATGCAAGTAAACCAAAGTTTACCAGGTGAGCGGCATTCGCCACTGTTGCCATACGTGGCTCATTTTCTGCCAAATTTACTCCTCTATATCTTGGTAAGTACTGATCGCAAAAAAATTTGGGGGGCTTAAAACAATCAGAAAATTAATCTTAACATTTTCGTATGGTAAATTTTTTTTTTTTTTAATACAGTATTTTTCGACACCAGCAGACACTTCAGGATTTGGGGTTGTGACAGTCAAAGGTTTAAGAACACAAGACATTAAAGAAAATGAAGTACACATGTACTGTATATAAGAGAGCTTGTGTGTAAAGAAAATATCTGATCTCTTACATAAAACAATATAAATGACGAGAAATCTCAATGAAACGATTGTAAACAACTTGCCAAATGGAGAATTGGAATCCATGGCAAGCCAGCCCCAAAACTAGCAGGCCAGTATAGGACTGGCTTGCTATGGGTTCTAATCCTGTTTGGTGAGATAAAATATTAGTGCTGTATATTATAAATCTAAGAGAGCCAAGGAACGAACAGCTAAGAGAATGAAATGTCTATCTTACAATTAATGAATCGAGACTCAAGCTGCCACCACCACTCCTTGCCTTGAATGATCGACACAGATTTACTGCTGAACATAAATATAGTAATAATAAACCTAAGAGCATATTAGTCATCAGTAACATATATTAACTTTGCTATATTTTTTTTTTTTCAACAAGTCGGCCGTCTCCCACCAAGGCAGGGTGACCAAAAAAAGAAAGAAAATCCCCAAAAAGAAAATACTTTCATCATCATTCAACACTTTCACCACACTCACACATTATCACTGTTTTTGCAGAGGTGCTCAGAATATTTAATATTTAATATGCTATATTTATTCTAACATTATTCTAACAGGTTAACCAGACTTGAATCCTGAAGGTGGAATGTACAGTGCCTGCACTCTAAAGGAGGGGTTTGGGATATTTGCTGTTTAGAGTGACATCTAAGCTGTCTTATCTGCATGCCTCTGGCAAGACAGTGATAGTGTGAATGATGGTGAAAGTTCCTTTTTCGGGTCACCCTTCCTTGGTGGGAGACGGCCAGTGTGTTATAAAAAAAAAAATTACCAACCTGTCAATCACAGCTCTGACTTCCTTTTGGGTCATAAGTGGCAGAGTTATGTTTGTGTGAGGGTGGAAACACATCACTCGACATGTTCCTCGAGCCTGGCCTGCACAGAACAGTGGGTCGTCACTCACTGGCGGAGACGGTACCTCTTCCAATAATGCTGGAAAATCATTGGTGAAGACAAATGTTGACTCATAGTCCGGGTTGACCTGGAGACAGAGTTGCAAAGTTAGGAAAAAAATCTATGTACAATATTTCATGTACACTGTTTCCACTTATCTAAACAGCAGTGTATAGAAAAAATAAAATAAAAAAATGTAAAATGATTATCCTGTATGGGAAAAGTCAAAACACAATTCTTTAGTAAATATTTTACTTTGTGTGAGAGCTTTAACATGCACAGACTAAGCAAACTCTACAAGTACTCATCACCAGCCATTCACCTTGCATAGTGCAGCCATCAGGGCACATGGAAACCTAAAAAGCTTGGGTATACTTTCAACTTTGCCTTTTTTCTGCAGTGACTTTTTCTTTTGCTTGCTGCATGATCTCTAAATTGAAAACTAATAATAGTTGTTTTTCAAAATACAGTAGGACCCCTGTATCCACAGGGAATATGTTCCGAGGACCTGAAATGGATAATGAAACCATAGATAGTAGCAAATCCTATATACAACTCCTATACATAATTCTTATAAAGTTTAATTGATAAATTATGCAGTCACAGACTGGGCTGCGGGGGAAGCCACTGACCCCGGAAACCCTCTCCAGGTACGTGTATATCCCAGGTAATAAGTGGAGAATTATCACTTTTTCACTGATGGGCAGCACTTCACAGCTTCTCTTAGTCTTTGCAGCTTTTTACTTTTGTGCTTTAGGGCCATTATTATGCAAAATTAAGAGGTAATTTTGGGCAACAGTAAACCGTGGATAACTGAAACCAAGGATACCAAATCAGTGGATACGGGAGTTCTACTGCATCCTCGGTTCATTTTTTATGCTCAAATCTCTCTTGTTTTTAGACATTATGTCTCATGAATGTCAATATTTACCTAATTACAGTGTTATATAAAAAGATTCCAAATCTGCCACAAATTTATTATACAGCAAGAATTAAGTGATATTCATAATTTCTGAATTCACATGGACCTCTATTATGTAGCACAATGAGTGAAGCAATACACTAACTATAACAATAAAAACTATGAACAATTTTATATTTAAAGATTTAGGTAGACAGGAAAATGAGGTACATGAAAAAGAACAGAAAAAAGAAAAGGTACCGAGTTTTTTCACAGTTATGAATAAATAAAGATAATTAATGAAATCAAAATTGCAAAAAGAAGTTACTGTATATGAATGAGAACAGGAAAAAATAGGTGACCTGGAATGAAGAAGTACAACAGTGAAGAAATATTCTGGGTTAAAGGATTGTGATTACAAATATTACACAATGTCGTGGATGACAAAACAGAAATCCACTAAGCAGAATAGGTATGCCGTCCCACCCATTCAAAGGGTGCCTTGATGCTCGTTATTATTCTTATAATTAGAGGGTAGCACTAAACCCAGAGGGGTCATTACAGCACTTGGGATATGGGAGGCAATAAGTTTCAATAAAAGTAGAGGATAGGTCAAGTACTTCAGATCAAATGCCCCTCACCAGCAACAAGGTATCCTCCTTGAGGGAGGGGGATGACTCTTGATGCTAGTGAAGTTGCATTTGATCAAAGGAATTGATGCTACCCTCCCCTTACTCAGATCAAACCTGATTACCTCACATTCCCCAGGCACTATTTTTTTTCACATACAGTGGACCCTCGCCTAACAAACGCATCGCATAATGTTAAATCTGCCTAGCGATACATTTTAACGCAAAAATTTTGCCTCAGCTAGTGCTAAAAAACTCGCTCAACGCGATTCGTTCGAGACGCGTCCACGTGCGGCCTGAGCCCGCCTCACTTGTTCCGTGGGTGCCAATGTTTACAAGCCAGCCACTGCGGTCGCTTCCAAGCATACAATCAGAACATTTCATATTATCACAGCCTTTTTAGTTATTGCACCTGCAAAATAAGTCACCATGGGCCCCAACAAAGCTTCTAGTGCCAACCCTACAGCAAAAAGAGTGAGAATTACTATGGATATGAAGAAAGAGATCATTGCTAAGTATGAAAGTGGAGTGCGTGTCTCCGAGCTGGCCAGGTTGTACACAAAACCCCAATCAACCATCGCTACTATTGTGGCCAAGAAAAGGGCAAACAAGGAAGCTTTTTTTTCCAAAGGTGCAACTTTTTTTTTTCGAAACAGAACGCAAGTGGAAAGAAATGTTGAGAGCTGTTATTGGTATTTGGATAAACAAAAAAAGATAGCAGGGGAAGCATCTCCAAAAGGGTCAATTGAAAAGGCAGGGAAATTGGATGACGATTTAAATTTGAAAAATGCCGCAACTATGAGATGTGAGTGAATTTAAAGGGCCAGAAAAGGTTGGGGTTTGAGAGTTTTAAGAATCGTAGTGGCTAAAAGGTTTGAAAAGGCTGGTGAGGCTGCCATTGGGACCACAAAGGGGCTAAAAAATATTGCGGGAATCAAGGAGTAATAACAGTGAAGACTTGAAACCGAAAAAGTTTTAAAATTGTGCCCGAAACAGGCCTTTTTTGGAAGAAAACCCAAAACAGGACGTACATTACTCGGAGGAAAAGGCACTCCCGGGCCATAACCCTAGAAAGACAGGCTTATCTGTTGATGTGTGCCAATGCTAGGGGTGATTGCAAAGTGAAGCCTTTTTTGGGTGTATCACTCTGAAACTCCCAAGGTTCAAAAAAAAACAATGTCCTCAAGGCTAATTTGTGTGTGTTTGGGGAGGCAAACAGAAGACATGAGTCCGGGGACTTTCTATGACGGGTTACACCATGCATTTGCCCCCACTGTGAAATCCTAATGAAAAGAAATTAGCCCTTTAAGTGCCTCCTGGTATTAAACAATGCTCCTGGTCACCCTTTCAGACTGGCGAGCGACTTTCTGCAGAAATGAGCTTCATTAAGGTCAAGTTTTTGCCTCCCAATACCACTCCCCCCCGCACCCTGGACCAGCAGGTCTTTTCCAACTTCAAGAAACTGTAAAACAAAAGCATTTTTAAAAGGGTCTTTGTAGTACCTCAAAACTCATTGACTCTAAGAAGTTTTGGAGAACCATTTAAACATCCCAATTGTGTAAACTTTTATAGGTAAGTTTGGGGAGGAAGTGACAAAAGGGGACCTTGAACTCTCGGGAAAAAACTATGGCAAATTGCAGAAAAAGGGGATTTGAAGGGTTTGAGGCTAACCCGGGAACCTACGCCTTAGGAAATCCTTTTTGGGGCATTTGGGGGGGTTTGGGTTGGAGGGTTTGTGGGGAGGTGTGGAAACTGGTGGGGGAGACAATGAAGAACTAACCACTGATGAGCTGCTAGATCATCTTCAACAGCAAGAGGCCACACCTGAGGAAACTGCTTTGGAGGAGAGGATAGAGAAATTGAGGAAGTTGCCTACTTCAAAGATTAAGGAAATGTGTGCAATGTGGCTTAAAGTGCAAACCTTTTTTGATGAAAATCACCCTCATACAGCTATTGCAAGCCGTGTTGGCAACCTGTACACTGACAATGTTGTGAAACACTTTAGGAATGTCATAAAGGAAAGCATATAAATCTATAGGGGAAGGAAGGAGGGGTAGGGGTCGTCCTCGAAAGGGTTGGAAAGAGGGGGTAAAGGAGGTTTTGTGGGCGAGGGGCTTGGACTTCCAGCAAGCGTGCATGAGCATGTTAGATAGGAGTGAATGGAGATGAATGATACTTGGGACCTGACGATCTGTTGGAGTGTGAGCAGGGTAATATTTAGTGAAGGGATTCAGGGAAACCGTTATTTTCATATAGTCGGACTTGAGTCCTGGAAATGGGAAGTACAATGCCTGCACTTTAAAGGAGGGGTTTGGGATATTGGCAGTTTGGAGGGATATGTTGTGTATCTTTATACGTATATGTTTCTAAACTGTTGTATTCTGAGCACCTCTGCAAAAACAGTGATAATGTGTGAGTGTGGTGAAAGTGTTGAATGATGATGAAAGTATTTTCTTTTTGGGGATTTTCTTTCTTTTTTGGGTCACCCTGCCTCGGTGGGAGACGGCCGACTTGTTGAAAAAAAAAAAATAAAAAAAATAAAGGAACGGGAGGTACAGGCCTCTATGGACAGATATGTTGTGCGACAGAGGTCCAGTGACTCTCAAGCTGATCCTAGTGGCATTAAAAGAAGAAGGGAAGTAACCCCGGAAAAGGACTTGCCACCTCAAGTCCTAATGGAAGGGGATTCCCCTTCTAAACACTAACACCATCAACACTCTCCCCTCCTCCCATCCCATCAATCATCACCAGATCTTCAATAAAGGTAACTGTCATGTAACTGTGCATGTCTTCTTCAGTTTGTGTGTATTAAAATTAATATTTCATGCGGTAAAAAATTTTTTGGTTCATACTTTGGGGTGTCAGGAACGGATTAATTTGATTTCCATTATTTCTTATGGTGAAAATTAATTCGCCTAACGATAATTTCACCTAACACTGAGCTCTCAGGAACAGATTAATAGCGTTAGGCAAGGGTCCACTGTATATGAACTTTACAGGGTAAGAGCTGCTATCCTACCTTAGCTCATTGCAAAGCCCAGCCTTATCTAAGGTATTCTACTATCCCCTGAGAAGCAACCTACAACAGTTGACTAACACCCAGATACCTACTTAATGCTAGGTAACAAGGGCAGCAGGTGTAAGGACATGCTTCCACTGAATACCGGGGATCGAACCATGGACACACAGTAAGTGAGTTGAGTGCGCTATCCCCCAGCCATAAATAAAACAAGGAATGGTAATAAGCACAGAGACTACAAATACATTTAAAATATAAATGTCCATCATTCTGAAAATGAGATAAATATACTATGTATGTAAAATAACAAAGGAAAATTTAGAGTTCAGCAACTGATGACAGTATACCACACATATCTGGTAGGTTATTTTTCCTGAAAATACAATCTCCAAAAAATGAAATCTCATCATTCAATAAAAACAAGGATTTTCAAAAATTCAAGATTTAACATACACAGTATCTACCTGAGTGAATAAGGATTCATTAAAAGTTAATAGTAAACTGCTTTTCTCTGAAGATTTTGAATTAAAAATTAGTAATTCTGCAAAATTAGTGGAAGCCACCATTGTAACTGAGACAAGACAACAGTCTATAATGACTAAAATACTGTATGTACTGTATACTGTAGCATACTGTACTGTACTAACTATAAATATTCAGGATGTAATAAAGTCTTTGAATTACTACATCCTGTATTGTTCTCAGTCATACCTGACCATTTGGTCTAGTAACTCTAGGACAAAGAGGGTTTGTAGGATCGTGAATTGGAATATCCACTTCAGCTGGTCTTTCCACTTGACCGGCCCATGGTCTCTTCATGCGATGTGGAGACACGAGTACCCAGTCACCTCGAAGAGGGTTAAACCTCACATGCTGATGCTCTGTATAAATGATGAAATTGTCAGTGATTATGCAACAAACTGCTCTTACTGATATCACTTTAGGTTGGTGCAATGGTTACAAAATTATTAAAGTCAATCTCGCTCACGTGGAAAACTGAGGCAAGCACCAAGTAGTTTTGGGAAGATGACAGTTCACTATTAATATAACAACACTTCTGTTAATTCAGAGGGAAAATGTCAAAGGGATTTGACTTTACTGAGGGTAGTTTAGAGGTCTCTAAGAAAAAGAATACACACCAAGATCATATAGCATCAACAGTAAAATCACAAAGTGTTGTGGTCCTACTAAAACTATTTTATTCACGGCAAAGAGCTAAACCAGAAAGGACCATGCAGTGCCAAGGAAGGAGTGGCAATCAGGCATGCAATAAGGAAGGAAAGGGTAGCTGTAATTCATTTGATTAAGAACCCTTCGCCTGCATCAAGACAAACCCCCATGATAGGTGCTACACAAGACAAAAAAAAAAATCAAATTGCATATCCTTTACAAGGCAGTAACTCGTCACACCCCCAAAATACCTTTTAATCGAGCTACAATACGGTGCTCTACAAACAATGTAATCTCATGCATAATTTCTCTACTTGAAGCACATGAAAAGGTAAACAGTTCTGCCCCTTCCTCTCCCTCCAACTATCACCTAACAACCACTTCTCTCCTTAAATAATCATACTAATGACCTAGTAGTATATATTTCTGACAGCACCTAGTATTTCACGTGGGCTTTATTCTTTCTCCATTACATGTATACTGTACAGTTGTAATGTGTTGGTTATTGCTTTGGTGACTACTATATGTGATGATAGAACAAGAGTTTATTTAGGTACAGGTACATACAAGTACAATTATCATATATAATAACATGTGTAAATTACTTAGGGTAACCCTCAAAAAAAGTCAAAGTGTAGGGTAACCCCCCAAAAAATCTAAGTGACTTTATTTCCAGTAATAGGATAAGTACATCAAAAAAAAATTCAAGAGCCTCTTTTGAAAATATATAACAACAAAGTCTTACCAGTTGCTTCAAAACTCATTGATGGTGTTTGGTCTCGTTACGAACTCAGTGCAACTTGTTGTTACGACACAATATGATCAGCCATATGTTATGCTTCACATTATCAGCCAAGTGGTACTTGCCTCACTGTCAAACAAAGATATCATTACCATCTTATCTGTTAACATATCGAGAGATGTATAATGTACTGTTACGCTTAACTGAATTATTTTTTACATCAAATCTGCCTTGCTCTAGTCCAATAATAATAATAATAATATACTATATTATTTCCAGGATATAAAATGATTGTTTTATTTTATAACTTCATTAAACCTTATCATTAAACTTTCATGAATGCAAATGGTAAGTACAGTAGGGCCCCCGTATCTACAGGTCAGGTATCCATGGTTTCAATTATCCGCGGTGTCTTATGGCCCAAAAATAACCCTTAATTTTGCTTAATAATGACCTCAAAAAGCAAAAGTAGTGATGGTGAAAGTTCTTCAAAGCCTAAGAGTAGCTGTGAAGTGCTTCTCATCAGTAAAAAAGTGATAATTGTCCACTTATTGTTCATAATTTATGAATTAAACTTTACAATAGGTATGCATAGGACTTATATATATTATTATTATTATAATAAAAAAGAAGCGCTAAACCATGGACTTATATATAGGATTTGCTACTAGCCATGGTTTCAGTATCCGTGGCAGGTCTTTGGAACACATCCCCCGTGGATACGGTGGTTCTACTGTAATTCCATTAGCAATTATCTTTATTCGCTTTGACCTATTCCAATCTATTATGAATTATTTCCTATAACCCTTATTTGCATTTATTTTCTTTTAATATTATTATTAAATAATCATAACTAATTGCTAAACCCACAAGGGTCATACAGCTAGCAGAAAAGGAGCTAACATAAGTTCTCCCGACTAGTGATATTTTATTACACTGTTATTCAGAGGGATATGTTAATTCCTCGGGTGTTATGTAGCACCTGGAAAATGAGACATTCAGATTCGATTTAAGGAAGGAAATTTCAATTCATTTATGGGGAAGCACTAAACCTTTAGGGGTAAGTAAAATTATTTAGTTAAGGTATATATGTACAATTATCATACCTTGTAATGTATGTAAATTACCTTGAGTATACCCTGGTTAACTTAAAAACAGTATCCCGTGGCCTTAAAAACAGTATCCCGTGGTTTCGTTGGTAGCACACTCAGCCCACACACTGAGGTCCGTGGTTCGATCCCCGGTACAGGTGGAAACATTAGGACGTGTTAGCCATCTGGAGTGGCTGCATCCTGGGGGACAAAATTAACCTAATTTGAGGGTGTCCCATAGATTGCTTGGCAATGCACTCACCTCACACACGCAGTCTCCACGGTTCGATACCCAGTATGGGTAGAAACATTGGGCATGTTTCCTTACACCTCCTGCCCCTGTTCACCTAGCCTGAAGCAGGTACCTGGGTCTTAATCAACTGGTGTGGGTGGCATCCTGGGGAAGGGATAATAGTATACCTTAGGGCTGGGCTTTGAAATTCGCCTGTGAAATTAATGAGCAAAAAAAAATGGCAGGCTTTGCCTCGATCCTAGAAGGGGAGGTTAATTCCACGTCCTTGGATCAAGAGCCCCTAACCCGCATAAAGACGCCGGTCTTCCCATGAGGGAAGATCAATACAAAAATTTAAAGTTGTACAAGAAACCTCAACATTTGTTTCCTACTTAGTGCAGCCAAGAAACATGATGGTGTGTTATTGTTGGGTTCAAGGGTTCCAATATACTTTATTTTATTGTTATGGTGGCTTTATACAACAGTTTTAGTTAGTTTTAGCTAGTTTTAGTTAATTGCAGTTAGTTTTAGTTATAGTTAGTTTTAGAGAATTATAGTTAGTTTTATAGTTTTAGTTATAGTTAGTTTTAGTTATAGTTTTAGTTAATTAAAGTTAGTTTTAGTTATAGTTTTAGTTAATTAAAGTTAGTTTTAGTTAATTATAATTAGTTTTAATTATGGTTAGTTTTAGTTAATCATTGTTATAGTTAATTATAGTTAGTTTTGGTTAATTATAGTTACTTTTAGTTTAATTAGTTCATTTAGTTAATTCGGGTACAGGTACACAAAAATAGTTACATAAATTATCATCCATACCAGCACATGTGTAGATACCCAGGATAATAAAAAAAAAGACAAAGTGACCTATTTCCATTTGGGTAACTGATACAGAATGGGTAACACTTGGGTGTATGTGCCCCGCGGTCTGGTGGCTAGAGCTCACCTGGGTGTTAGTGGACTGGTGTGGGTCGCATCCTGGGACAAAACTGACCTAATTTACCCGAAATGCTCTACATAGCAAGCTGCTTTCTATATAATAGTATGTCATTGATGTCAGCTAGGACTGTATACCTTGTACATTTAAAAATAAAGATATTATTATTATTAAGTACAGTTATCATACTTAGCATGTGTAAATTACGTAGGATAAACCCCCCCCCACAAAAAAAGGTCCTGGAGTTTACCTGCAGTTCACCTGGAGAGAGTTCCGGGGGTCAACGACCCCGCGGCCCGGTCTGTGACCAGGCCTGGTGGATCAGAGCCTGATCAACCAGGCTGTTACTGCTGGCTGCACGCAAACCAACGTACGAGCCACAGCCCGGCTGGTCAGGAACCGACTTTAGGTGCTTGTCCAGTACCAGCTTGAAGACTGCCAGGGGTCTGTTGGTAATCCCCCTTATGTATGCTGGGAGGCAGTTGAACAGTCTCGGGCCCCTGACACTTATTGTATGGTCTCTTAACGTGCTAGTGACACCCCTGCTTTTCATTGGGGGGATGTTGCATCGTCTGCCAAGTCTTTTGCTTTCGTAGTGAGTGATTTTCGTGTGCAAGTTCGGTACTAGTCCCTCTAGGATTTTCCAGGTGTATATAATCATGTATCTCTCCCGCCTGCGTTCCAGGGAATACAGGTTCAGGAACCTCAAGCGCTCCCAGTAATTGAGGTGTTTTATCTCCGTTATGCGCGCCGTGAAGGTTCTCTGTACATTTTCTAGGTCAGCAATTTCACCTGCCTTGAAAGGTGCTGTTAGTGTGCAGCAATATTCCAGCCTAGATAGAACAAGTGACCTGAAGAGTGTCATCATGGGCTTGGCCTCCCTAGTTTTGAAGGTTCTCATTATCCATCCTGTCATTTTTCTAGCAGATGCGATTGATACAATGTTATGGTCCTTGAAGGTGAGATCCTCTGACATGATCACTCCCAGGTCTTTGACGTTGGTGTTTCGCTCTATTTTGTGGCCAGAATTTGTTTTGTACTCTGATGAAGATTTAATTTCCTCGTGTTTACCATATCTGAGTAATTGAAATTTCTCATCGTTGAACTTCATATTGTTTTCTGCAGCCCACTGAAAGATTTGGTTGATGTCCGCGTGGAGCCTTGCAGTGTCTGCAATGGAAGACGCTGTCATGCAGATTCGGATGTCATCTGCAAAGGAAGACACGGTGCTGTGGCTGACATCCTTATCTATGTCAGATATGAGGATGAGGAACAAGATGGGAGCGAGTACCGTGCCTTGTGGAACAGAGCTTTTCACCGTGCCTGCCTCGGACTTTACTCTGTTGACTACTACTCTCTGTGTTCTGTTAGTGAGGAAATTATAGATCCATCGACCGACTTTTCCTGTTATTCCTTTAGCACGCATTTTGTGTGCTATTACGCCATGGTCACACTTGTCGAAGGCTTTTGCAAAGTCTGTATATATTACATCTGCATTCTTTTTGTCTTCTAGTGCATCTAGGACCTTGTTGTAGTGATCCAATAGTTGAGACAGACAGGAGCGACCTGTTCTAAACCCATGTTGCCCTGGGTTGTATAACTGATGGGTTTCTAGATGGGTGATCTTGCTTCTTAGGACTCTTTCAAAGATTTTTATGATATGGGATGTTAGTGCTATCGGTCTGTAGTTCTTTGCTGTTGCTTTACTGCCCCCTTTGTGGAGTGGGGCTATGTCTGTTGTTTTTAGTAACTGTGGGACGACCCCCGTGTCCATGCTCCCTCTCCATAGGATGGTAAAAGCTCGTGATAGGGGCTTCTTGCAGTTCTTGATGAACACGGAGTTCCATGAGTCTGGCCCTGGGGCAGAGTGCATGGGCATGTCATTTATCGCCTGTTCGAAGTCATTTGGCGTCAGTATAACATCAGATAAGCTTGTGTTAACCAAATTCTGTGGCTCTCTCATAAAAAATTAATTTTGATCTTCGACTCTCAGTCTGGTTAGTGGCTTGCTAAAAACTGAGTCATATTGGGACTTGAGTAGCTCACTCATTTCCTTGCTGTCATCTGTGTAGGACCCATCTGCAAAGGAAGACACGGTGCTGTGGCTGACATCCTTGTCTATGTCGGATATGAGGATGAGGAACAAGATGGGAGCGAGTACTGTGCCTTGTGGAACAGAGCTTTTCACCGTAGCTGCCTCGGACTTTACTCTGTTGACGACTACTCTCTGTGTTCTGTTAATGAGGAAATTATAGATCCATCGACCGATTTTTCCTGTTATTCCTTTAGCACGCATTTTGTGCGCTATTACGCCATGGTCACACTTGTCGAAGGCTTTTGCAAAGTCTGTATATATTACATCTGCATTCTTTTTATCTTCTAGTGCATTTAGGACCTTGTCCTAGTGATCCAATAGTTGAGACAGACAGGAGCGACCTGTTCTAAACCCATGTTGCCCTGGGTTGTGTAACTGATGGGTTTCTAGATGGGTGGTGATCTTGCTTCTTAGGACTCTTTCAAAGATTTTTATGATGTGGGATGTTAGTGCTATCGGTCTGTAGCTCTTTGCTGTTGCTTTACTGCCCCCTTTGTGGAGTGGGGCTATGTCTGTTGTTTTTAGTAACTGTGGGACGACCCCCAAGTCCAAGTGACTTATTTCCATGGGCGCCCGAAGAAAATTGTTGCTCAAATATAGGAAATTATAAATGAAGCTGTTTTCTTCAGAACGAAAGTTGGAATATAAAATTCCTAAGTTAAACTATGTATAATAATAATGTGTAATAAAAAATATCCTCTCCAGGTATACTCCAGGTAGGTAATCGTACCTGTGCCTAATTAAATAAACTTAAGTTATATAGACCTAAAGAAAAAAAAAGGCAGAGCCAGGCTTAAGTTTGCCCAGAATGCTCTACATAACCATGGGCTTCCTACATGCAATTAGGTGTCACCCATTTCTGTATAAACATTGTGTTATGTGGAAATACACTGGCTTTTAGGGACCTCAGTCTCTGAATAAGTAAATCTACACTGGTGGCTCTAAAGGGCCACCACGGCACAAGCTATATTGACCCTTAAGTTCATTTCTTCTCGACCTGAGGTGTTTATTGGGTCTTAACAACTGGCGACATAGTGGGCCTGTTTTACCAATTTCTGGGAAAGAATATTTTTCATTAAGTCATTGCAAGCATTAAATGCGTATGGGTCATACAGCGTCTAGGACTCTAGGGGAATCTGAATTTAATTATAATTATAACCAAGCATTAAACCCGTGAGGTCATACAGATGAGAAATCTGAGCCAGGTCCAAGGAAGGGTAGGACAGGTCCATTATTGTGGAAATTTATTTAGTCCCTATAGTTCCACAGGACAGATCCAGCATGGCCGTGATGGAACGGCTGAGCTGGATGGCCCTTATACCCCACCCAAACATAAACGCATTCTCTCGAGTTGGCGGGGATTGTTGGTAAGCTTATTTAATTTATAGATTTACTCTTCAGGGAAGGAGTAGGTAGTTTTACTGGTAGTACACTAATATTAGGATTATTGAGGCAACTGTAGATAATAATAATGTAGACCTAAGACCTAACTAGGTAGTAATAGGGCCCATAAATTTGGCAACACTAGGATAAGTTAGCTAGGGAGAACTGGCAGCCCAAATTTGAACGAAGAACGAGGGTCTGGAAGAGAGACCAGCTCGTTCTTCTTAAGACAGACACCAACTGGACAAGACGTGCCATGATCAGCAGATGGCGCCCCCCACATGTCTTCACATTTGAGACCTGGGGAAAATTTGGGAGAGGCACCTCGATGTACCATAGATGACCTCCGTCAGGCCCATACAGTAAGACAAAACCTCCACTTTATCTCGTAGATTTCTGTCCAGTGTCTGGGAGATATGTGAGTGAGTTGATCTGTGGGCCCGGTGGCAACAGGCAGTGCATGCCCATAAGTACCAGTGTCTCAAGGCAGTCTGGAAGCTAGTGTCCGTGTCTGCATAGTTATAGAAGGGATACCCACTCTCTTGGATATAGGAATTCTGAGGTGCAGGCAGGACACTAATAACGATTGAATATTGCAAGGGAAATTAAAAACCCCCCGTTGCACATGGTTTCTGAGGGGAAGTCCAGAGGGGGTAAGGCTAAGCTTAGGGAAGTTGAAGACAGGATATTTCTGCAACACCAAGTAAGTTAGTCCTTATACGTGCATGCAGGCGAGTTTCTTGCAACATCAATCATTTGTGAAATCTGTCCTATAAGCCACTTGTGAGGTTGAGGTAACCCACCTCAGAGCTCGTGTCAATAGAGTTTTGCCAGGGTAGGCGACTCACTTGGAGGCAATACACACAAATTTTCACAAAAAGTGGTCCATTCGAAAACCGTGATGTGGAAATAGGCTAGTTAAGCTAATCATAGGCAAGGCCACCCATTTGGTGGGGGAACCAATTTACAGAGTTAGGTTAATTACACACCTAGGCCCAGAGTTACACATGGCTAGGCCCCAAGCAGACTAACACA